AAAACAACATCTAAAGGATATCTTTTCCTTTTGTCCTGTTCTTTATATAGTGTTTTATTAGCATCAATTAGTATTTCACAACACACTTGATTCCCCTTAGCTGCAGCAGCATGAAGAGCTGTAGAATTTGTATCATCTTTGGCACGTTTATCTGCACCTTGCTTTATGAGGAGCCTGACTATGCTGCAATGACCTTGATAAGCACTTATGTGTAAAGCAGTTCTACCATTTTTGTCTTTAGCATTTATATAGGCACCTTTCCGTAAAAGCATATGGCATATCTCACTGGACCCTCCACGGGCTGCATGATGCAATGGAGTCTCTTTGTCTTTGTTTGTGACATTTACATCTAGGTCTTGTACAGTTAAGAGTTTTTCTGTCAATATTATTTTAGCATTTTCTGCAGCAAGATGGAGAAGTGAAGAGCTTTTGTTGACATACAATTTTAGGTGAAGCACCAGCATTCATTAGCAAAACTGCACATTTTTCATTGCGCTTTTTTACTGCAATAAAAAGAGCTGTATTACCATCCTTATCTTTTTCATTTATTACCTTCTTCACTCCCTCATTCTTAAGCAAATATTCCATACATTCATCAGCCTTTTTAGCAGCTGCCAAATGAAGAACATGGTTCTTGGCTTTGTTTTTAATACTTAGGGCAGCATGGCTATTTATCAGCACATTGACACAATTAGCTTTATTTTTAATTACAGCTTCCATTATTGGTGTGTTTCCAGCATTGTTTTGGGTATTTAAAGGAGCAAGTGTATTACAAAGCAATGTAACAAACTTTTCAAATCCTAACTTAGCTGCTATATGAAGTGCTGTGTTACCTGCAACATCTTTGAGATCCAAATTTATGTTAGCATGAACCATTTCTTGATAGCACCGATAATGGCCTTTCTTTGCAGCCAAAATAACAGGTGAAATTTCGTCAACAGCTCTAACTGCATCACTTGGGTAGAAACTAATAAGTATTTTGCAACACTCAGAATAACCCCTCTCTGCAGCATGGTGAAGAGGAAGGTACTTTTGGTGGTCTTTAATGTTAGTATCAGCTCCTTCTTCAATAAGCAAATTTAGTGTTTCAAGTTCACCCCTTTGAGCAGCAAAATGCAACGGGGTCATAGACTTGTTATTTTTCATGTTTATTAGTTTATCAGTACTTCTTCCATTTATTTTTTGATGCTCCAGCAAAATGGTGCAAAGGTTCCGAAGACCCTCTCTTGCTGCAATATGCAGAGGGGTATCTCCATTCTTGTCCTTATCATTTACAATTGCACCATTCTGAAGTAGGAGAAAAGGTATATTTTGGGCTCTGGCTTCTTTCTTGGAATACTTTTCGGCCAGAATATGAAGTAGCGTTGACCCATCTTTATGCTTGAATTTAACATCTGCACCTTCCTCTATTTGCTTTTTACACTCCTGATAATCTTTACGAGAAACTGCATCTCTTAGCACTTTCTGGCTACCACTCGGCTCCCTGAAAAATAAGGTACAATACAATTCTTTATATAATACAATTCAATTCTTTATTTCAAATTACCACATACACAAAACATCCAATCTGAAGATCCACAGGATTCACAGCATTCTGGGTAAAAATTAAACAAGGATCTAATATATGATATAAATAGGAACTTTAAAAATATACACATTACAAGATATAGGTATACCTTGCTTTGAGGCACTGCTGTAGAGTGCTTCTCTAATATGGCACTTGTCAATTACATGTATATTTATGTTTATTACTTTTAGCACCATTTTGTTACCTGTGCTCAGTCTGTTTACAGCATTTGTGTACTTTGTGTTTCAGTGTCATATTCTGGCAGTTTTCAAAATTTTTCAAACTTTTTACTTGTGTTATTGCTATTATTGTAATTATTAAGTACAGTACAATCACCCCTAAGTTTAATACTAGCAAAAAGAGTTCACAATACAGTACTGTAGCACTTTTTTATTAATTATTTTTGCATTTGCACACTTAAAAAATGATAGTGCAAACTTGCTTTCAGGCTTTTACATGAACTAGCAAGTGAATAAAAGGCTGTGATTCACGCTATGGCAATATTTGCTGTACAGTGGTGGTCTGGAACATAACCCACTGCTAAGTTACCCTATGTATAATCAGTGATACCATAGAATAAGTTTTTTTTTTTTTTTTGGGGGGGGGGGGGGGAATACAAAAATCTAGGATTTTAACACTAAGATATTATTGGGTCACTGGTGGAACTTTCAGAAATAAGTGGAGTACAATTATGAAACTGCTGTATTGTGGAGTTGATAGAGATCGAAATATAACTTTCTACCCGAGTCACTATACCTCAGCTAAATAATAGTATCATAAAAAATTAGTGTGGTGGAATTAGGAACAAAGTGAGGAATATTAATAAAATACAGTGATACAGGACCATCTCAGGACATTCATCATCGGTAGGAGCTGCCAGAAGTCACTGGTTTCTCCAACACGCAAATTATACTTTTTGTATCAAACTGAACACCTATTACTCTGTTAAATAACATTCCATTAGTCCTTTCACGATCTAGTCCAAAAACACTGACCAGATTCGTTCAAAAATAAGTGATCCACTAACCAGATTTATTCAAAAAATTAATTGAACTAATGACCGGATTCAAAAGCTGACAGAGTCTCTAGTTGCCCTTAATGCCCAACCAGATTTGTTTAAAAATAAGTGATTCTCTGACCAAATTCATAAGCTAATGGGATTTTAGGCACTCTATCAAACACCCAAACAGTTACTGCTAGAAGCGGTAAAATTATTTCATACACATACACATACAAATAAATACACATACAAATAGACAGATTTACACCTTAAGGCCACTACCCTTTATAGTGTTTACATTTATTCCTCTACTTGTTTTTTTAAACCCCAAATTTTACTATTTTACTAACAAGTGCATTTAAGTAAACTTCTCATTGAACCTTATACCCAGTGCCTTGTACACTTTCAGCTTTAATATTAATTCTAACCCTTACCTTCATATTTGTTAGTGAATAGCAATATTTGATTCTCAGTTATTAGACACATAAGGTGCTCATTAAGGTGCTAATTCAGATACTGTTATATTTTCTTTATTTTAGTTTTAAAATCAAGTATTTGTCTCACATCTTTATAACCTTATAATACACCCAGTGCAATATTGCATCATCATAACTGTATTATAATAATTTTTAACTAATTTTTAACATCTACAGAGTTCCACAGTCAAACATTAGCCAATTTAGTCAAAATCTAGGAAGTATGATAACAGATGCACGCATGAACAAAGATCACTTACTACTCTCAGGTGACTTCAATATAAATCTCCTGCAAGACCAGGACCCACACGTTACTGAATTCACAAACACAATGAATAACTGTATGTTACTACCAACAGTAACAAAACCTACAAGAGTTACAGAGACTAGTGTTTCCCTACTTGACCACATCTGGACCAACACCATATCCCCTTTAAAATCAGGCATAATTACAGATAATACCACAGACCACTACCCTACTTTCCTCATAACAACTCTTGGTAAACTACCCCAAGACACTCTAAAGTCACCTTCAGACTTCACAATGAGGCAGCCATTAATAACTTCTCAACAGCAATAGCAAACATCGATTGGCACACTGAGCTAGAAACCTATACAGATATTGACGAATGTATTAATAATTTTCTAAAAAGACCCAATACCTCTATAACAAGCACTGCCCTAAAAAAAATAAACAGATGACAGCAAAGAGACTGAACAGTCCCTGGCTAACACCCAGCATTCTCAAATCCATAAATACAAAACACCAATATGAAAAACAGTACAGAATGGGTCACATAACCAGAGACCAAAAAAAACTTTACTCGTCAATCCTAACACCCTGAAAGAAGGGAAAAAAAAATTGTTTTTATGAAAACAGATTATCCAACTTACGAGGTGATTAAAAAAAAGACCTGGAAAACCCTATCAAAAATTCTGGGAACAAAAAATATCACGAAATAGCGAAAAAAAATTAGAAAAATCGATGAACCCCAACTCCCACCAACGAAACAAAAAACAATAAATGATTTCTTCTCCCTATAGGACAAAACCTTGCCTAAAATTCCCAACTCAGATACCCCCCAAATGATACCCCGGAAAATACCCGAACACCTTTTCCAGCTCCGACTAACCCATATGAAGCCCCCTTATTATCACGCCTAAAAACAAATAGGAGTTTTAAAATACCTTACCACCCTTTATACAAAAAAGTGTACAAGTGCTATCACCAATCATTGCAACACTCTTTAACAAATCCCTTGAATTTTTCCCCCACCCTTCCCTACAGTATCAAAATAGCAAGGGGCACCCGATCCCCAAAGGAGGGGCCAAACAAGGGTTTAAAAACTATGGCCCAAAATCCAACTTACACCCTCTCTCAAAAAACTTTGAAAAAATTTAATTATAAAAGAATTATCCCCACCTTATCTCCCAAAACATAATCAACCCCTGCCCAAATTTGGATCAGGCCTAAAAAAAATATAATGATGCTTTTTTAAAACAGCTAGAACATATATACACTGCAATAAGAAAAAAAGAAGTCCCCTGGGGATCTTCATTGATTACGTAAAGTTTTGATACGTTGACCATGACTTTTTTCCACATAAAATTGCACAAAATATGGAAAGAGGGCCTCCCTCAACTACCTCAAGTCTACCCCAGCAAAAGAAACCATATGTGTACGCAAAAAGGGCAAACTCCTTCTGCCAACCAAATTTCAGTTTGGGGTCCCCCCAGGGAAGTGTCCTTGCCCTCTTCTTTCTCCTATACAAAAGACCTTCCAAAGCTTCGAATTACTCAAACCCCACTATTTGCAGAACACTAAACGTCTTTCTCACCCCCAGGCCCCGTCACGCTAGCCAAAATGAAATACCGAATTACAGAAAAAATCTACCTGGAGAGGGCTAACAAACTTTTTCTAAACATTACAAAAAAACTTCATTTAGTTTGGTAACAGAGCTACGATTTTTCCCTTTACATAATATAAACGGATACCTATCAAAAACTAACAGAGGGAAAATTCTTAGGGGAAATTACCTTGTAATAGACTCAAATTTCATACACATATACAACAAATTTCTAAGAAATTTCAAGACTGTAGGCATACATCGAAAATACGGTATATTTTCCACAGTCAGCCCTCCCCGGGCCCCATATCACCCCTTTTTTTCCCCTATCTCACCCATGGAATTTGTGCAAGGGCTAAAAACAATTAACCATCTCAGACCCCTAATTATCGCAAAAGGCTGCAGTTAGAAAAATAACAAATTCCACTACAGGCAGCACACTCCAACCCTATTCAAAAAACACTAACCTACTCCAATACAAAAAAATCCATTTATTACTGCACCTATTACAAAAAAAATAACTCTGATATTAACCCCCCCCTAAAATCTCCTTTCCAACCTCAAAGAACACAGACCAAAACAAAAAGGCACAGATCACTCTTTGATGTTCTCGTGTCCCCTCCACTAGCAAAAACTCAATGCACATAAAAGGCCCTAAAATCTGGAATTCATTACCTGTAAATATAAAAGAAACACTACCTGATTATAAATTCAGTCTCTTCTCAAAGATCACTTGCTCACCCAAAACCAAATAAATAATGAATAACTGAACCTTATAAATTGTATATCTTAAATGTTTCTCACAATTATATCACATAAATGTTAAACCTAAAACCGAATCTAACTTTATTATTTTTTAAATACACTACCTAACAGAATCACTACCTAACTGAATGCAACCATATGACCTGTCTTTGTAATACTCACTTGTGCTTTATAGTAATCTGTTTACATTAATGTTTTATCACTGATTTCATCATTGCTTAGTTAATCTTAAGTTAATTTTAAGCCAGCCCGTAATGCTATGCATAGTATAAGTGGCTTTGGCATACTGCTCTTATCTGTATTTTTTTGTACCTCTGTATGTGTGCACAAATTGAAAATAAATAAATAAATAAATAAATAAATAAATAAATAAATAAACCCTCTTTTTATTTTTTATCTTCTTTTAATTTACCATTACTTTCTTACCATTATAAACTATTATTATAGAACAGATAACCAGTGCAAGTTTATATTGTCAAACTTGTGCCATAATAAGAGTTAGCAATATCCCTGTACTAGCATATAATTGCTTATTTTAATCTACTATTTATAAACTATTAAGTTTTGTTTCTTTATTTTCTCTTTTGACTACCACTCCCTAAAAGACTTTTAAAATTTGAATTATCACTTTCAGTACTGATCAATATTTTTTGTGTTCAGTATTATAAAAACAGTTCAATTTATATCAAAAATTTTTACCATATTAAGAGCCAACAGTATCTCTTTAAAAAAATTTTTTGCTTTAAAAAACTACTTAAAAACAATCCATTAGCTAGTAAGATAAAATAAGTTTAGTTTCATAATTTTTAAGTCCAACATAATACTTTG